CAAGTAAGGAATGATGATGAGGTGGTTAAATTGCAAAGAGAGAATATTTTTCATTTTAGATGTCTAGTGAATGGAAAATTGTGTAGCATGATTATTGATGGGGATAATTGTGTAAATGTGGCTAGCACCTTGTTTGTTGATAAACTGGGTTTGGAAACTACAAAATATCTTAAACTTTATAAACTGCAATGGCTTAACAATAGTGGAGAGGTGAGAGTTAATAAGTAAGTGAGGGTGCCTTTTACTATTGAAAAGTATAGTGATGAGATGACCTGTGATGTAATTCCTATGCAAGCTAGTCATACTTTGTTGGGTAGACCATGACAATGGGATAGGAGAATGATGCATGATGGGTATCTTAATAGGTACATGGCAGGAAAAGATGGTAAAAAGTATACTCTTCTTTCTTTAACTCCTAGTCATATTTTGTTGGGTAGACCATGACAATGGGATAGGAGAATGATGCATGATGGGTATCTTAATAGGTACATGGCAGGAAAAGATGGCAAAAAGTATACTCTTCTTTCTTTAACTCCTAAATAAGTTTTTAAAAACCAAATGTAACTTGAAAAGTCCCATGATGAATTTGTACAAAGAGAGGCCGAGAGAAAAAGAAAAGAAAAAGAAAAAGAGAAAAAAAAAGAGTGAGAAAATTAGAGTAGAAGAATGAAGATCAAAAGGAAAAAAAAGAGAGGTGCATTCGACCATAGAAAAGAATGAGGGAAAGAAAATGAGATTTTATACTAAATAAGAGACGTGAAAAAAGCTTTATTTTTTAACAAACCAATGATTATACTCATGTACAAGGAATCATGTTTCTCAACTAACGAACTTGACCCTTCTTTGCCAAGTGTTGTGGTTGAAGTTTTACAGGAATTTAGCGATGTCTTTCCCGATGATCTACCTCAAGGTTTACCACTTTTGAAAGGGATTGAGCATCAAATTGACTTCATGCCTGGGGCTGCCATTCCAAATAGACCAGTTTATAGGAACAATCTCAAGGAGACCAAAGAGCTTTAAAGGAAAATGGATGAGCTTTTACAAAAGGGGCACATTCGAGAAAGTTTAAGCCCATGCGCAGTGCCCGTCTTATTAGTACCCAAAAAAATGGTAGTTGGCGTATTTGTGTTAATTGTAGAGCCGTCAATAAAATAATGGTAAAATATCAACACCCAATACCTCGACTTGATGATATGTTAGATGAGTTGCATAGTACTTGTGTATTTTCTAAAATCGATCTTAAAAGTGGTTATGATCAAATAAGAATGAAACCATGAGATGAATGAAAAACTGCTTTAAAACAAAACAAGGGTTATATGAGTGGTTGGTTATGCCATTTGGCTTAAGTAATGCGTCAAGTACTTTCATGCATTTAATGAACCATGTTTTACGTGAATTTATTGAAAAGTTTGTAGTTGTCTACTTCGATGATATTCTTGTGTGTAGCAAATTTATCGATGAGCATGTCATGCATTTGAGGCAAGTGTTTGACACATTACGCAAATTTCAACTATATGCTAACATGAAGAAATGTACTTTTTGCATTAATTGCATCATTTTCTTAGGATATGTCATGAGTGCAAAAGGAATCGAGGTAGATAGTGAAAAGGTAAAGGCTATTCAAGAGTGGCTGACACCTAAAAGTGTAAGTGAGGTGCGTAGTTTTCATGATTTGGCAACTTTCTATAGGAGATTTATAAAAGATTTTAGCACCGTTGCTGCCCCTTTAACTGAAATCATGAAAAAAGATAAGGGATTTGTTTGGGGAAAAAACAAGAACATACGTTTTCCTTATTGAAAGAAAAGTTATGTAATACGTTTTTATTAAGATTGCCTAATTTTGATTCAACTTTTAAAATTGAATGTGATGCCTCTGGGCTTGGGATAGGTGCTGTTCTTATGCAGGATAAAAGATCCATTGCTTACTTCAGTGAGAAGCTCAATGGTGCACAATTGAATTGTTCTACTTATGACAATGTTTTATGCTTTGGTAAGAGCATTAGAGACATGACATCATTATTTGTTACCAAATGAATTTGTGATTCACACCGATCATGAATCTTTGAGGCATTTGAAATGGCAAAGCAAGCTTAATAAACGACATGAAAAATGGGTGGAATTCATAGATTCCTTCCTATATGTGATCCAATATAAGTAAGGAAAAGAAATTATGGTAGTTGATGTGCTTTCAAGAAGGTACAGTCTTATATCTACTCTTTCTACAAAGTTATTGGGATTTGACCATTTCAAAGAATTGTATGTGCACGATAGTGATTTTTCAAATGTTTATGTGGCTTGTGAACATGCGACATTTCAAAACTTTTATAGGTATGATGGTTTTCTATTTTAAAAAAAAATACGTGTGCTTAATAGTTCTATTAGGGAGCTGCTTGTTCGTGAAGCACATAGTGGTGGTTTAATGAGACATTTTGGGATTGACAAAACTTTGAGCATTTTACATAAACATTCTTTTTGGCCTAATATATGCAAATATGTTGAAAAAATTTATACGCAGTGCATCTCATGTGGGCAAGCTAAGTCTAGAGTTCAACCACATGAATTATATATGTCATTACTCATTCCTACACATTCTTGGGTTGATATTTTTATGGACTTTTTGTTGGGTTTGTCTATGACTAGAAAAGGCCGAGACTCAATATTTGTTGTTGTTGATTATTTTTCTAAAATAGCACACTTTATACCATGTCACAAAATAGATGATGCCACACACATAATAGATTTGTTTTTCCACGAAGTATTTAGAATGCATGGCATTCCTAAAACCATTGTCTCCGATGGGGATGTTAAGTTTTTAAGCCACTTTTGGCGAGTTTTGTGGTCCAAATTTGGGACCAAACTTTTATTTTCTACTACTTCACATCTATAAACAGATGGTCAAACTGAAGTAGTAAATAGAACACTTGGTACATTATTACGTGCTTTAATTGGAAGGAATGTTAAAACTTGGGAAGATATGCTAACATTTGTTGAATTTGCTTATAATCCGAGTATGCATTCTTCTACTGGATTTTTTCCTTTTGAAATTGTGTATGGTTTTAATCCCTTAACTCCACTTGATTTGTTACTTATTTCTATAAGTGACATTTCTAAGTTGGATGAACATAAGAAAGCCAAAATGGTTAAAGCAATTCATAAAAAAAGCAAGGCAAAACATTAAAAAGAAAAATGAACAAGTAGCATCCCATGTCAATAAAGAAAGTCGCAAGATTTTATTTGAACCCAAAGATTGGGTGTGGGTTTATTTGTGCAAGGAATGATTTCCATCAAAACGGAAATCTAAGTTGGATGCTCGTGGGGATGGTCCATTTCAAATCATAGCCAAAATCAATGAAAATGCTTATAAAGTGGACCTACCAAGTGAGTATAGTGTTTCGGTTACATTTAACATATCTAATTTATCCCCTTTTGAAATTGATGCAAGAATTGATTCGAAGATGAATCTTTTGAGGGGAGGGGGAATGATGCAAACAATGCTAAAAACACTCAAGATACTCAAAGAGCATCAAAAAGTGACTTGTAGCAAATTTCAAATGACGTGAACATAAATAAGGTTCCAAACTTGGAAAGTTTCAGCAGACCAGTAACAAGATCAAAGACAAAGAAGTTTAAAGAGTTGCTCCAAGTTTTTACTCAAAAACATGTGGATGATGGGCTGGTTAATTGTGAAAAGTTTAAATATGAGCTTTTTGAACAGACCAAATTTGTAACTTTAATTGGGTTTAAATGATTTGGGATAATTTGGGCTTGTTTGAGTCTTATTGGTAATGGGTGAATAAGTCTTGTGTATGGGCTAGATTAATTGAGTTGTTTTAAGTATTTTGGATTGTTTTATTTTAATTTGAGTTAATTAAGCCTATATAGTCAAGTATAACTCATTTGGGCTTAAGTCTTGTCTTAGTGTTATTACAAGAATGAGCTCATAACTATATAGTGCCACAAACAATTAGTGGTATTGGTTAAGAAGAGTAGAGTTACAAGAAGTTACATAATAATTACATATCTATAATTAGCCTACTTATTGTTAGAGTTACAACTGTAATTATCACATAATTAACCTAGTTATTGTGGGAGTTATAATTGTAGTTATTATGTTGTAACTTATCATTGATTTTTTTGGCTATAAATACCAAAGGAACTCTTCTTTGTGGACATCAAGAATGGTAATCAAATATTTCAGAATTGAGTTAAGAGTGTTTTGGCTTTTTTTTCACTTTATGCACAAGGTGTTGATTTGGAATACAATTGCTATCACTTGTATTCAATTTTGATTTCCTATTTCAATTGTTCCTAGTGTTTATTTGGATTGGATTCAATGAATATCATTTATTTTTCTTGGGTTCTATTTAACTTTTAACATTTGGTTGATTGAACAAACTTAATTCCTTTTTATTTGTAATCTAAATTATGTTCTAAACCGATTGAAAAGTTCTAAAATTCAAACAAGGGTCCTGGAGTTCCGCATCAATATATATATATTAACCAAATTATAAAACAAATTTCAAAATTTTATTTCTTCAATGGCAATTTGTTGTCTATCAATTACGCTGACATTATATTAGAAGAGAGAGCATCACCTTTCTATAAAGTTTTTTAATACTACAAAATTAATTTACTTTACTTCATCATATCTAAGAATCAATCTCATATGTCGATAATTGTATTTGGTACGAAGAGAATATATACTGAAGAATTAATTAATTTTATTCCTCTAAATACTTTAAATTAATTCTGTAAAAAATATAAACTTCAATCTTACCCCATTCGATATAAATTTAAACAAGAAAAAAAAAAGGTAGATGAAGAAGTTCTTTTTTGTCCTCCAAATTTTGTTCCTCGTCAATAAAATCTTTATACTGTAAACATGTTAAATTAATTTTACGGAAAAACACAAAAATTTATATAGAAACTATTAGAAAATGAACATAGATTAAAATCATCTTGACATTCATACAAATCTATTATTTATCCCGTGCGCTAAATCATCTCTATAACACAAAAGAGAG